GGAAGAGAGAGAGGGAAGAGAGAGAGGGAAGAGAGAGAGGGAAGAGAGAGGGGGAAGAGAGAGGGGGAAGAGAGAGAGAGAGAGAGGGAAGAGAGAGGGAAGAGAGAGAGGGAAGAGAGAGAGTATCATTGAAGAAAAGAGCCCTATTCAAAAGGAACATGGAGAGAGAAATTCTACAAAATCTACACTGTACGCAATGCATCTGCTCTCTCATCCTTCAATTCTGCTACCTTAAAAACATTCAGCGTCTTTCAAGGCAGTAGAATGCCAGATGCACAGCCTGGGACTCACTTCTTACATCTTCTCTTYCCTCTACTGTTTTCCCTAGGCAAGCTCCTGGCAATCATTTGTAAAAGAACAGTAATGAAATACTGTGTGCCATTGCTTTTCCTTACACTCCTTTTTCCTCCCTCCCCTCTGCCACTTCTTCTGAATTAATTTTTAATATAATTTGAAGTACATTGTAATTAGATTTCTTTTATTATTSATATTAAAAAATGCAACAAAGCAGAACAAAGACTCACAACTAAAGAAACACACAYATGTAATACAAACAAAATAGAAACAGTTCTGGCACAGCATTTTGTAATGTTACTTTACAAGGTGTAAGCAGCTRATCTATCTGAGGTGGGAAAATAGAGTAGAAAAGTGAGTATGGTTTGTAAAACAGCCGGTTAGATGTTTCACAGGAGCTCCCTGCTACAAAAATAGCAACTTTCAGGTTTCCTCCTGTGATAAATATTGCTACAGGTTGGACTGACTTCCAGAGGGTCCTAAATTTCCCTGCAGTTCTGCGATGCATGTTGTTACATCTCTTTTCTTCGCTTTTTTAAAATCAGACTAAACCATGGTTACATTTAAATTGCTTTTAACAGGAGCCTATTCCCCAAGTTGTTGGAGTGTTTCGGCAGGACAGAGTAATCCTAGCGGGACACGAGAAGCAGCCCCCCAGTCCAGTGCCCGAACGGGTGCGCAGTGCCCGCGCCCCGCAGCGCATCGCTGCCCCGCACGGCCGGCGGGATGCGGGGATAACGCGGAGCTGGCGCCGCGGGAAGGGGGTGCGASAGGGATGCTCCTCACCTCCGCAAGCTGACACCGAGGCGGCGAGGAGGACGAAGAGGARGAGGAGGAGCGGGGAGCCGGGAAGCGCCGCGCCGTCCCCTGCCCTCTTCAGGCTGCGCTGGGGGGTGGCCCCGGGGGGCTGATGGTGGCACCGGTGTCCCATGGCTGCAGAGTCCCCGGCGCCGCCGCTCTGCCAGCCGCTCTGCTGGGCATGTCCTCGCTCCCTGCCTCAACTTTTTAAATCCCCCCGACACGTGGCCGAGCGCCCGGCAGGCTCGGGGAGGCAGCCCCGCTCCCCCAGAGGGCCGGGCGGCTGCTGACTCCCCCCGCTCCGCTCCGCTCCGCTCCGCCCCGGGGCAGGGCCCTGGAACCGCGCTGGGCGGCGGATGCCCCTGCTTGGCACGGAGGGGAGGTGCTGGCCAGGCTCCAGGCTCTTCATTAAAGCCCCTCCTTAAAAAAAA